ACGGGAAGGGGTCTGTTTGAGAGTTCTTCTCTCTGTCTCCTTTTCCATTGAAGTTTGTTATAGATATAATTGAGGGCTTGTTTAGCATTTGCCAACTTGAGTCATCTTTGGCGCCGCCGCTATATCCGGTTGTCCGTGAATGGTCGTGTGTACGCTGCAGCCCTTCGACCAATTCTGCTATACCTCGCAGAAACTTGGCTAATAAGAAGCAGGATAAAGATAGACTCTCGGTGTTTGAACACTGCTGTTTACGCATCATTGCACGAGTCTGTTGGGGCTGCCGGACGAGCAATGCTGAGGTTAGTCGTCGAGTTTTGGGTAACTGTGGTCGCCCACTGGAGCAAGTGTTCGACCTCCATAGATTACGTTTGTTGGAGCATGTGTTACGCTTGTCACCGAATAGGTTGCCACGGCGAGCAGGCAATCGGTGGAAAAAGCCAAGGGTTGTCAAGCCATGACCTGGCACGAGGGTATGAAATCCCTAACCAGGGTACTGGGTCACATAGGTCCTGTTAGGCTCACTGTCCGGAGACCTCGGGATAATCGTAAACGATGGTTAGATACACTGAGTGATATGGCTGAGTGTCGTAAACAGTGGCGTTCGTGCATCGTCTCAATTCGTTTGCAACCTTAAACCCCTGAAATTCTCCGTTTTCTGTTCGACTCTACTTTCAGCCTTCCTGTCTTTCTTCTATTCTACATCCAAATGGGCAGCCAAAAGACAGCAACCAAAACTTCCGCACAAAAGTGCCTGGATAATGGTTGTGCAACCTGAAACTGAAACTGTTCACGTATACGGACCACCTGACACAAATGGCTTCATTCATCTTTGACAAATGCTTGTCCGAAGGTATAATCGCTGATACATGGCTTAATGTTCGTGTCGTCTCAGTACAAAATGAGATAAGGAGAAGTTTCGGCCAACTGCTTCGTCCTCGGTACTACTTAAGGCTTGTGGTCTAATCATTATTAAGGCTGTTTTCCCTTCTATTGATCTTCGTTATTCTAACCACTACACTTTTTGTAAACGTCGCTCTACTGTAGACGCGGTTACTTGTCTTACACATCCCATTTTATTTATGAATGACCCAAAACGAACTTTTCATGCTCGTCTCCTCCACTATACAAACTCTTTTCATTCAATTGATAAAAACACCCTATTAACATTATTACAGCAACCATCCTCTACCACATTTGTTCAGTTGGATGCTTAACTATTTTAGTGACCGATTCCAGTTCACATGTTTCAGTGGTATCAGGTCTTCTGCTGTCAATGACTGTGAAAACTGACATGAACGATGTAAACCAAGGTGTGATACAGAGCACAATTTTGTCCCATTTTTCTTTCCTCACATTTAAATTTCATTCCATCTCTCTCATACCAGCAGCATAGTGGTTTATGATCCACCCAACGAAAACTATTCTGTCAGCCGTTAGTTGCATTGCTGATTGCTCTGACGGTGTTAATATTTCCTTATACTCCGTGGTGAAGTTTTTCCCCGTAATCTTTGGCGATCTACACATTTCGGATCACCCAATTCCAATATCTTCATTGACTACTCAACCGTACAAAAGTTGAAGCATTTTAAATGCCTTGGGTGCTTGCTGTCTGCTGACCCTTATATGGTCTTGACACGTGCAACAAACATTTCCTAAAGTCGGAAAGTGACGTTTTACATCTATATCCCTAAATTTATTTTCTCGTTTGTTTTATGAGATTGGACTTAATGTTTTCTTATTGTCCTTCCCGGGCTGTTGTCTAAGGAGTTCATATTGATTAAACGCCCTTTGAAAAGCATCTCTAGATACGGAATTGTCTCTTTTTTGGCGTCGGTCGACTCCGTTTTCAACCAACACCTTAAAGTATATGGCCGTCTGTGTGACGCAATTCTGTCCTATATATAACACTCTCTGCACTCGATCTCCATTTCCACTTCTGTCACCCGCAATAAATTTAAACCTTTATACACTCGCACCACAGTTTTTCACAAGTCTTTCATACCGTATCTTTGTCATTTATTGGGTTGCAGGGGACGATTGTCAATTGAACTGAAACAAAATCTCATGTAATTCATGCTGCAGTTCCTAATTCCGCTTCACGTTTTCGCTCTTCACCATCACTCCCTCTTTACTGAGTCCCTTTGGGTCTCATGTACGCCAAAGCTAAAGTGATTCCATTTTTCCACTGAAAATTCTGTCCACAGTGGGTGATTAAAATGCATTCTTGACTTGACTTCACTAGTCAGCATCGCCTATAAGCTGCTGGCTGCAATTGTCGTGGACGATTCACCGAGTAGATATAAATCAGCTTAGTGCTCAATAGTGCCTAGGTTTATCATTACCAGAACCATATATTTACAGAACAACTTAATATCAACCTCGTTTGTATTCGTTTCCCGATTGAACTAGCAGATTACGAACAAAAACTAAGTTCTATAGTTGTCTGAACTATACTGGATAATGTCGATATTTTTCGGCCAGAGTTGGATTGCGCTGTAAATCTGACTTGTGATATGGGGCGAAAACGGACAAATCAGGTATTAATTGGGGTCAGTTACACAGGTTTGTCCATAGGAATCATAGAAATGCTACAAACAATTACTATGGCCTGCGATTTCAAGTTATTATGAGGAAAAATCTGATTAAGTCACTGAATCTGAGTAAGATGTGAAATAAAAGCCTGAAAAAATAGTTGTGATTTTGTAATTATTATTTTTACGATCCAATTCAGAAACTAAAGTATGCTGTTGATGACTGTTTATGATGGAATATAATTGTTGTGCAGTAAGTTGTATAATGGCCGAAAAATTACATTGTGTTGTCCTTGCTGGGACTGTTTAACATTGTGCAATTTTTGTTTCCCTGCGAACCCTATATATATATATATATATAACACCAATCTTTACGGATACGGCGCCACGGTTTTAACGCGAAATATAGAAATAGAAAATTAAAAAAATCAACGGTTAACTTTGGGAATGACAAATTTTTCTGTATGTTTACTGCACACTATTTTAACTTTGTTTTATTTTTGAATCGCACGTAGGGCAGGATGTGTTCACTCCACTAGGTTCGGTTAAATGCCATATCCTGTTGGGTCTTCAGCCATAGATAATCGGAATCGTTGGCACCCCAGCCGGAGAGCCGGGAAGCCCCAACGGAAACCAAATCTGAGCTTAGTCTTTTTCCCTTCTACACCACGTCATAACCTGCCCACCACGCTGTTTCTTCCAGTCCGGATCAATGTCGGCAAATAGTGCACGGTATGGCAGACGTTGATCAGACATTCGTATGTCATGCCCCAGCCACCTAAGATTATTGTTTTTCGCAATGGAAGACTATCTGATTCTAACACCCGTCGTCTGACCTCATCGTTATTCACGCAATGCTCCCACCATACGTGAGCGATGTTGCGCAGACAACGGTTGTTGAAGACAGGTAGTCGTTGGACATGATCTGCTGGGAAAGGCCAGGTTTCGCAGCCATAGAGCGCGTACCTTCACGCAATACACACGGTATTTCAGTGAAAAGGATATGTTGCACCGGTGCCAGAGATGCCGCAGATTAGCAAACGCTAATCTAGCTATTATTACACGTTGAGAGGTCTCCTGACTCACAGCTCCGTCAGCCGTTATGCAACTCCCGAGATAGACAAAGCTTTCGACTGCTTCCAGACTGTGGTTACCCAACGAAAATGCAGGAACGGGTTCCTGCCAATCTTACAACAACACCCTGCACTTTGAGGGTTCAGAGGGCATACCATAACAAGAAACCTCAATTGTCAAACGATTCAACGAATCTTGAACCGTCGGTACATTATCACCTAGTAAGGTAATATCATCGACAAATCATCGACGACTGTGTCCCCAGGAAGAAGCTCAACGACAGCATTCTTTACCTTATGTAACGCGTTTTGTAGAACATGATCTATGGCAAAGTTAAAGAAAAATTGCGCGATAAGGCAACCCGATCGTACCCCACTGGTGGCAGGAAATGAGGGTAAAAGTTCACCATACACACTAACCTTCCTCGAGGTCTGACGGTAGAGTGCTTTTCGGAGTAAAACACTTCTCGGGTACTCCATATCTCCGCAAATGGTTCCACAGTGCGGAGCGATCGATGAAGGCGAAGGTCGCTCTGATGTCCAAAAATACGATTATGGTTTGTTGTCTGTATGTGTGGCGGTGTTCTAGTAGCTGATGAAGGATGAATATTTGATCTATGCAACCACAACGTGCACGAAACCCGGCCTGCTCCGCGCGGATTTGCCTTTCGCGAAATGGGCTTTGTCTGCGTCATAAAAAGGACGCTAGCAATTTCGGCGCTATTGGGATCAGAGTTATGACCTTGTGGTTGGAACAGCCCTTCTTGTAGATGATTCTCCCCATTTTTGGGGTATACTTTCAGTTTCCCAGATCCCCGAGCGCAGTCTGGCAAGCTCTCTCTCACGAGGGCTTCCCCGCCATCTTTAAAGAGGGCAGGTGGCAGGCCGTCTGACCCAGCTGCCTTGTGGCGTTTCAGGGCTTGAAGTTCCATTCGGATCTCCGCTTCTGCGGGCGGTCCCGTGGATAGTGACCAGGGTGCACTCTCGAGAGAACTACTTGAGACATCCAGCGCGGAGGGCTGGTTGAACTGCGATGCTAAGTGCTTTGCCCAGCGTTCCAAGCGTCGCTGAAGACTATATTAGCGTGTGGTCTACTTCACACATCGTTTCATTATAGCACTGTCTTTTGTGCCCACAGCACGAATGAGTTGGAATAGTTGCCGGGTGTTTCCACACCTAGCTGCTGATTCCATCTCCTTTTCACATAGCGTCCACCAGGCTTCTCGTATGAGTTCACGCTTCAGAGAGAGGCCCTGTTCACCATACTCCACTTCACCATACCATGTCTGTCATGTATCAGCACAGCGCTAACAAATACTCTTCATTTGCTTATGACCCCACTCTCTATGTACGCTATTTACATCTAGTCTACCCCTCCTTATTTTACTTTGCGTAGCCCGATCCATCACAATGGGATGGAGGTACAGCAGCAGATCCTATCGTGAATCCCGGTTTCTCTGAATACCTACCACATGAATTTGGCAGTGATTTATGCATATCCTACGCGCAACGACAGAAACCACCCAAGGTCCTGGCCAAACGCTTCCTCCTCGGACAGACTATCGGTCGCGGAAGTTACGGCAAGGTGAGATGAACTAGACCGCTCTGGATGGAACCAGTTAGTTCGCTGTGTTGATTTTTTTCGTCCACGGATCTCATCATAATATATTCAATGGACGGCCATCACATAATGACAACCTTAAAATGAACATTAGATGGGTCTCATTAGGTATCTTTTCGTTTTCCTTCTTAGTCATCCCTATTCTTTGATAGAACACAATGGTGTAACCAGAAGTTTCAAATGGGAATGCATGCTATCGCTACCCTCATCTGCTTTTTATCACATTATTCAGTATAATCCGAGTGGGGTAAACACATCTAACTTCTCATTGCTTTCACGAGACCATGCAAGCGCAACGTAGCAGCACTTTGCGGTGGTTATTGTGATATTCGATGTTAGTATCTGGTCCCAAAAGAACTAGTCAGGAGTCAGCTGAACTGGTGTGTTCCTTCTTTGGTGACACTGATCTTTAATTGGGGATACTGTAAGAACTTGACCAACTGCTTCTGAGAAAGTAAAACTGGTCAGCTTGAATGTTCCCCCCCCTTTTAATATCGGTTCATGATCTATGAAAACTGCATGAGCTACCCGCATGTTAGTCTCATTCTTATAAATTCCCTGTTATCTGAATAAGACTGTACTCTTGAATCCCCTCCGACAATCGCCTTATCGTCCTTCCTATGTATTCCGCTCCATGCGAGGACGAAAAAGAAGGACATCATCGTAATTTTCTGAAAAGACCACCACAACCACACTTGGGGTCTGATCAACTTGCTCATTTGATGTCCGGATACAGACTAGATGTAGTTGTAAATCATTGGCTTTATGTTCACCCACGACGGCAATAAAGCAGTTGACTTGAATTAGTTTGACTTCCTTCCCGTGATGGAAGAGATCAACGAATCTTTGGTCCTGTTTTTGCTGCCGGTTGCTTACCAATGTTGTCGAACACTAATGTCCAGTAATGTTAATGAGATAATTTCACGTGAAAACTCTACATTCCATTCGAATGTGTACATGTGGTTCTATTTTCCTCGTTCCGCTCAGCTATTCATCATCTACTCTGAATCCGTTGTGTACTATTTTGTGCCCATACACAGCACGTGTCCTACTGTAGTGGAGGTGGTATGGGTTAATGGGGTGTTCTCCATTGTTATAAAAATGTAAGCAATAATAGTACATCATTGAAATCGATAACTGTTCGCGATCAGAATCCTTGGATTAACTTCGATTTGACGCACTTCCCGATGGTCGGTTTTGAAGCGTTCCCCCTCTAAACATTACATTGCGTATTTATTGTCGCCGTTGTTAAAACATGGTAATCTGCGTTGCGTTTCGGCACACTGGTTGGTTCCATGTAAACATCATCTGTAAACATGGAACTTTATTCGCCTCATTCGATAGTGCGCACAGTAACAAACCATGGCTCGATCAAATGTCCTACTTTGACTAGAGTAAATCCTTTCACTGTACGAACGATGTTACCGTTGGCTGATATAACTTATAGTTCCGGATAAATCTATTTTGCGTACCTGTGCTTTCCACTCGAAAAGTGTCAAAATTTGTGTAGGGTCAATTCAAAACTTTGTTAAAAAAACTTATACCAACGACATTGTTTCTGTATCATTCTCGCAACGTGTTTAAAAGGTGTGCCTCTCATATGGCTGGAGAATGCCCGGTTACTCACTACTGAAGCTATCGTCTTATCGTTCTATTCATGGGAATACATATATGGATTGAAACGTTACAATAAATACTATTGTTCAGCTCTCGCAACCTCCTAAAAATGTATATACATATATAAGGGATTATTTCCGCGGTTACTCTGTATCGACCGATAATATACATTGACCGAATTTTATCCTAAGCTAGGTGCTTTTCCCAGGATCTTCACTCATTGCAGCATCGTTTTGGCAGTCAGGATCAAAGAAACAACTCCCAAGCCAGTCGATTTAATTCGACGACTATTTACTCACATGTCAGGTTGTTTTCGATCGTAATCTTCCCGTGTGGATTTTAAAGATTATATCACCACTAGCCGACTGTTCTTATTGGTAAATGTTCGTGAATAAAGACAAGGTTTTAGATGTTTGTATCAGCATGAACACTTTCATTCTATTGTTCAATAGCTTTCCTTGTTTTACCGAGTAACGGATTTTTCCTTCCTTTAGGTCAAAGATGCCATCGACCTAATTACAATGAAACGACATGCAGTGAAAGTAATTAGTAAACTGGGTGTTAGAAAAATACCTGGCGGTTGGAGTCAAGCATTGCTCGAGGCAACGGTGATGCGTCGCTTGCCTGCCCATCGTCACATTGTCTCTCTAGTCACTGCTCTTCGGGTGGACAATCCGGATCGATTATGTCTAGTGATGGAACATTGTCTTGGCTCCGTGCATGATTTACAGTCGATCGGCGTGCCTTCATTACCCAACGAATTCGACGAGGACAGTGACGAACAAGCAATCCTCGAACGTTCAGACGAGAGCCCTGATCCACAACAACCCTTGGGTATATCTCCCCCCTTAACCAATCAGAAAAGTCCGTCTAGAAGCACCAAATCCAGTGCGACACGGACACATCGAACCGGAAAGCATCGATTCCGACTCAAGTGTCCCATCATCGAAACGGATTTGAAACAGGAGCCTACCAGATACACAGAAGCGTTTATGAATCGTAAGGTTTCCAATGTGGAAGGATCCTCTCGTCGGAAGAGCAGTGTGCTTCATTCAGTACACCATCAACAACAACAGCAACAACAGTTTCGCCGTTTACCAGAAGCGCAGGCACATGCCTATTTTCTTCAGGTAAATTTCAATGTGCATTGCACAGCTTTCTAAACTGTATATGTTTGTATTACATTTTCATAATTTATGTAGGCATCTCTGATTACTTTTCAGGCAAAAATATATGCTCAGTTCAGTTTTTTCTAGTTTCTACAACCATTAACTACGCACTTTCGTTCGCCGGTTTTAGTTGATGTCTTTTGACTGCCCGTTTGGATGTAGAATAGAAGAAAGACAGGAAGGCTGAAAGTAGAGTCGAACAGAAAACGGAGAATTTCAGGGGTTTAAGGTTGCAAACGAATTGAGACGATGCACGAACGCCACTGTTTACGACACTCAGCCATATCACTCAGTGTATCTAACCATCGTTTACGATTATCCCGAGGTCTCCGGACAGTGAGCCTAACAGGACCTATGTGACCCAGTACCCTGGTTAGGGTTTTCATACCCTTGAGCCAGATCCTACTTTGTCCGCCCTTGGCCCTTTCCATCCACTACCTGCCTCGCCACACATCACTCGCCGTGGCAGTCTATCTGGTGTTTTGCGCACCACATATCCCAACTAACGTAATCTATGGAGGTGGATCACTTACTCCAGTGGAACACTGACAATCTTTTTTTATCGTGCCCCGTAATGGCCCAGTTTCTGTATCGCATAGCAGCACTAGCCGAACTGCTGCTGCATACACTCGACACTTCATGGACAGCGGAATGTCGCGGCAGCACCACAGATGTCTCAAGTTGGCAAATGCCAACCGAGCTTAATGTATGAGTGCCTACACTTCATCTGTGACCCGTCCGCCTGATGAGATAGCTGCCCAGATAGCAAAACTTATCTTTTTTCTCTATTTTTTCCCGGTCAGCAACATTTTACACTTTGAAGATGCAAAACTCATGCCAAACATAGATACACTAGACTATCCAGAAAAGCTTGCAACCTACCTGAATGTTCAAATAGTAGCACAATGTCGTATGAGTATTCCAGATCAGATAGTCTGCCACCTGCGAGGTTATCGGTGCTGCCATTCTCGCAGGGGGATAGGGCTGTTTCAAGAATTAAGTCTGAGAAAGTTTAAATACAAACGGAGAGTGAAGATAACCCGGACGAACTCCACTTTTCGTGAACTCCGGCGAAAAAGTGTTGTAAGTTTGAACTCCACTTCGGCTATTAGTTAAAAGGGATCGTAATATTGAAATAAACCTCTAGGACACACTTCAGCGAACACCCCTGAGGGAAAGGCAGGTCTGACTCTCTAGCCAAAGGCTTTGGGTGGGGACCCCCAAGCTAGCCCTCTTCCTCGGTCAGCGCAACCGGTAAGTAACATGCCCACACAAACTATGAACACATTATTCAGCTTTCTTCCCGTTCATATGTTGTGGCACCTTCGCCAGTTCTCTGTAATTGGTTTCGTGTTGAATATTTTTTAAAAAAATCTGTGGTTTTCCTAAGCGGACCTATAACCTTTGCTGTAAATCGGTAGGATGATTGATTCACACCATTCTGTTGGAACCTGTTATTCAGCCCAGGAGTTTCGTCATCTCTGAACTTAAGGCTGAGTCTTCATCCTTAAACACCGACGGGAATAGATCAGCTGGGGGCGGAGGCGTTATGTCGTTTGAGACAACTTATTTCCCGATAACCAACCATTTCTGATGGAGGACTGGCATCAACTTTGAGTATTTCCCCAGTCGAGGTGATCAGTGACAGATCAAATGTCGATGAGGGCCAGTTGAACCAATAGCCGCAGCCTTCTCCATCTCTCTACACTCACCTACCCGCCACTTCTCGCGGTCATTCTGCACTCTTGAAGAGCTGGGATTTGCGCGCTGTGTCATAGGTTGCAGCCGGAGGAAGGGTTCTTCGAGCGTCCAACAGGGCAGCCGAGGTCGATGAGATCCATCGTTTGTGTTTTGAACCTGCGCCAGAGTGGATTGTTGTTTTTATCGATATTTGCAAAACTTCCTTAATTTGCTTCCAGGGTTCATTGAGTCCTTCGGTTTGCAGTTGAACGGGAAGGTGATCGGAGAGCTCCGCTTCAAAGGATGATTTGCAACAATCGCTGACATTGAATTGTTGGTATCGGTTTTCGGCGGGTTTATCGCGGTTGTTAGTCAGAAGGAAGAATAATTTGGCTGACAACAAAGCGCGGTCCGTATTCGCATGTGTTGACCAATGAGAGCTGTAGTCTTGATTCGACTGTCTCTTGTGGTAACTGATGGCGAGTCAGTCAATTTGGGCCCAGCGCTGTGAAGGGGTTGGGTGTTTCCATGTGTAAAGCGGTGTCGTTTCTTGTGCGAGAAGTTGGTATTTGACAGGAACAATCCGCGGTGAGCGAAAGGTTGAAGTAGACGACCTCCTTTGTGCATCGATTTGGTCGGAAGTGCATGTAGTCCGCCAAGAAACCTTTCGAACTCGTCCAGGTATCCCACTTGATCATTGAAGTTTCCGGCGACTACACGATGTCGGTTGGCCGAGCACTTTGGAGTAGTTTAGATCGTTGTGGTAGGCAGCCCTGCTGTCGCCCGGCTCACTACCACGCTCAATCTACTGAGGCCTTGTGTAGCTTACCACTCCAGGTCTCACGGTTGGGTTGCCGGTCTTCTCTCACACCATATATGATCAATACAACCTACAGAAATCAAGTAATGCGCACTCCACTTAAAAACTCACAACGCTTCACAGCCCTCATCAACATTCGTAGTTTTAATCGAAACGTTAATTCTGTACACCACTTTCTCCAACCTTCTTCCCCCTTGGCTTTATTTTTGACGGAGACACAAATCTCCCCCGCGTCAGCTACTACTAATCTTCAGTTCCCTAATTACTTCCTGCATTTGTCTTTTCGTTCTAAAACAGGTGTCTGCGCCTATATCCATCACCCTCTCGCTTCTTCCCGACTTTCGCACCTAAACATCTCTATCCGTGAATTTCAGCTTATGTGGCTAAAACTTTGATCCCTTTCTTTCAACCACTAGTTCGTACTGTTTACCGCTCCCCGAGTAGCAGCGATTCTTCTATTTTTGATATTCTGTCTTCCAACATTGAGACGCTAATGTCGACAGATTTTAACAGCCAAATTACCATTGTCGGAGATTTCAATGTCCACAACAAGGAATGGCTGAAGCACTTCTCAGACACTGCCTTCATGGGATGCGAAACCGAGGCTTTTGCTGTGGTCAACAACCTAAGTCAACTAGTTGACCTCCCCACACGCATCCCTGATCGTATTGGTGACCACTCCCACACCCTTGATCTCATTCTCACATCCATTCCCTCTTCCTTCTCCAACATCAATTCCCTTTTCCCCATCAAGCTCATCGGACCATTGTCTCATTTCCTTTCTCACTTCACCACCAAACTCCAGACGCACCTTTTGGAGTTACGATACAGTCAACTGGGACGGTTTTCGTGACTTTCTGGCTTGTTATCCCTGGAAGGATTGTTGTTTTATATCGGATGTTTTCATGTCTGCTTCAAACTTTACGGAGATTGTTCTTCAAGGTATGTATCTTTATATTCCACACTTTTCCAAACCCGGTAAATCACGATCCCCTGAGTGGTTTAATCATGCTTGCAACCGCGCCGTACGTTTTAAAAACTCAGCATCCCGTCGTTGGTGCTACTCACCCAACCCAGCATCCCGCAACCGCTTCGTGCAAGCCAGAAACAAATGCTCGGGCACTATTCAGAGAGCTAAAGGACGCTTCATTTGTCACAAAGCTGCGCGCTTGGCTTCTTCCACCACCGGCAACCGAACATTCTGGTCCCCCCGCTAAAGCAGTTTTACGTCATCTCTGCCCTTCCAACTTTCCTCCCATTTGCAATTCCTCTGGTACTGTTGCTTGTGATCCTCATGAAAGAGCAGAGGTCTTCTCTTCCCGATTCGCCTCCAACTCCACATTATCTGCCGCCCCTACGGTTCAACCGTCCTCCTAGACATCCAATTACTCTTTTCTCCCTATCATAACAACCAGAAAGGTCCACGAAACTCTTCGCGGTTTGGATTTTTGTAAACCACCCGTTCGGGACGGTATTCCACCTATCGTCCTAAAAGTGTGTGCCCCGGAGTTAGCCCCTGTTCTACACAGCCTTTTCTGTTATTCACTCGAACTTAAATCTTTCCCTACTCCATGGGCAAATGCCATTATTTTTCCAATTCCAAAGTGCGGCGACCCTTCCGACCCCAACAACTACCGTTCCATTACTCTCACATCTGTAATTTCGAAAGAGTACATTTCTCGAGTGCGAAGATTTGTTTAATGACCGTCAGCATAGATTCCGCCTTACTGGCGCTCACATCACATTTCTGGTCGGCTGCACTCGATAACCACGGAGAAACTCACACGGTCTCGCTCGACATTTCAGAGCCTTCGACCGCGTTTGGCATGAAGATCTGCTGTCGAAATTAGCCCTTCCGATTCCACTCGTCTCTGATATCGTTGCTTCGTTGTTTCCTCAGCAAGCGAACCGAGTAGGTGGGGTCCTATCTCGGCCATTTCCTGTGAACCCCGGTGTTCTCTGAGGTTCCATACTTTCGCTCACCCTCCTTCTTTTATTTATCATCGACCTTTTATCCCAAACACCTTATCCCATTCACTGCTTTGCCGATGATGCCACTCTCCATTGTTCTCTTTCTTACCCTACAATGCGTCAAGCTAATACCAAAATCGATCACGATCGTAATGTCATCAATGTTGCTATTGCCTCTCTTGGGATTCTACCAACAATTTGTTTCAATGCTTCCAAAACTTCTCTCCTCTCAGTCTCTCTTAAACGTGTCACCTATTCCCCTCAATTGATTTTTGATTGCTTCTTCGCTCCACAAATTCTCTCTTTCTCCGGGGTTTGTCCATAAATTCTTCTCTCTGTTGGTTCTCTTTTATTTTTACATTCGTCTCTTGAGCTGCGCGTAAAGTTGGTTTTCCATTCCACTCAAAGCGTTTCTTTACATTCAAGCACCTTCTCCTTTATACAAGGCTCAAATCCGTCCGATGCTTGAATACTGTAGTCAAGTATGAAGTGGAGCTTCGTATTCCGCTCTTATTCTCCTCGACCGTATTCAACGTAAGGCCATCCGGTTGATCGACGAAGTCTTTAGATTCCAACCTGCAGTCACTTTCCCATCGCCGGGCAGTTACTTCGTTATCTCTTTTCTTTCGTTACTATTTTGGTTTCTGCTCTTTCGAACTCGCTTCAGCGATTCCCCATCTCTTGTCCATCTCTTTTTCAGGCGAGCAGTCACTCTTTTACCAGGTTTCTGTTCCCAAATGTCGGACTTCTATCGTTTAATCTTCTTTTTTCCGAGGACTGCGAAATTGTGGAACACTCTTTCCATTTCCGTGTTCCCCAGCTCTTATAACCTTATCCTTTTCAAAAGCAGGATTAACAAATTGATTCTTACTTGAATGTTCCCCCACATACCTCCCCCTTACAGTGCATCGATGATTACGAGGTTTACCCCTTTTGCTATAAATCACCTCCTGTGTAATAAAAAGAAGAATCTATCCTTAGTTTCAGGTGTACTGCAATCGGTCGATGCATACACCGTAATGACCAATAAGCATCGACGTTTCGTTCTGTAGCTGTTGATCCGTACTGAATCATCCAGATATACCGCGGAAAGTCGGCTACTAACCGGGATCCCGTCGAGAAATGAACACTCAGCCTTGACAGTGAGCACAATTCCAATAGAGCAACAACTTGTGCTTCGGATGCCGAATCACCTGACACACGGAGGATGAAGTGTGACGATCAGGTCGGATCTGGAGATACTAAGGTGATGATTGAAGTGGGGTCTTGTATGCGTGTTTCGGAGACACAGCATACATCTAACTTAAAAGTTTAAAAGGTACTAGTTAAGTCAGGTTGTTGACCGTTATGGAAGTGTGCCGACATTACATGTTGCTAAGTGAAAGATTTTGTTTTCGAAAATCTGATAACCTCTGAGTGGTTCACCTCATTAGTTGAACGCTGAGTAATATCCAATGGGTGCATCTCCTCAGGTGCATCTCTCATTAGGAGCGAGGTTTTACAAGCTGAACTGAACTGAACACGGCTTCTGACATTGTTTGTTTGCTGATGTGGAACCTCCAGGTTGCGGGGACAGTGGATGGTTAAAGGAAACGCAAGCTGAGGGCCAACCAGCTTGCCTTCGGATAGTGGGTTTTGCTAGGCCTCTATCCGTTGGTCTTTCAGATATGATTGGATCTGCGACTGTGGTAAGCCACTAGGTCACGAGGACACGCAAGCTATCACACCACGTCAAGGCGCAGCCTAGTCGTGATGACCATCACGACAAAGGGAAATACCAAATTGATAAATCTGCAGATTACTGCATTTATTACACTTACCTTGTACGCTTGATAGGGATCAAATGAATTTCCGTTACGACTACGATTAACAAACATCTTGTACTGCCCAAGAATGTTCAGATCCTCGTCACACTGATCATAATAGGCGTGCATCGGATCCATATCGGAACGGTAAAACTGGAAAGATGAATCACAGACTAGTCCATCATGTGAGTCCTCCAAGGCGCTGGTATCAAATTCACCACTTTGATCNTGATCGTTGTCCCTGAGTAAACACTGACCGGTGGGGTCGGCCATCTCCTCGAAGAAATTGGCAAAGACACCCGTACCACCGGCCAGATTCTCCCGCATGTGTAAAGGAGATTGGTGAGATGATGAAACCAGCTCTGACCGGTGATCGTTCGGACTCAATGCACTCCGAAGTAAATCGGACATTACAAAATATTGGAGAAGTTGTAAACACACACACACAAACACACACAACTTCGGTCCATGAAGCGATTCGGCATGAAGCCCAGGTGCACCTAAAACGGGGAGTGGAATAGGTCGCTTCATTTACAAATCGAAAAACTGAGTAATGATTTGCAACGCAATATTCTTTTTAAATTATTCCAATATTGCGACAGTTGTTCCTTAATGACAAAAGGATGAATACATGGCTGAGCATTCATCTCAACCTTCCAAAAGGCCCCACTATCTAAGAAGCCGATGAGGCTAAAAATGAATATTGACGAAAATATCTGTAGCACTTTTGCCCTTAGTGTATTATACGCTGTGTATCTATACGTTCTGTTTGCCACTGTATAGCCAACTTTTGTCTAAGCATATCAGTATTATTGTATTGCACACACGTCTGAGTACACTTTATCAACAAATCACGGTATGGAAATATCTAACACGAAGAAATTTATCCACAATTTTCACCTTTCACTGAATGACACTTAGTTTACGTTGCTGATAGTCGTTTTTGGCCAGAGGCTTCGTTTTCGGTGGTGTCAATCGATACAGAGAATAAAGCCAGTATTAATACTAGTACTACATACACAAAAATACGCATTACATTTTCTCGAGGTGTTCTATACCAGCGTTCATGAACACTTCCATGTGCTTAAACCACTTGGTGAAACACAGTCTGAACTCCGATATATGAAAATAAAAACATGTGACAAGGCATTAGACTTCTCTAAGGAAAGAACAAGGTACTGACGAAGCTGGATGTTGATGATCTCAATTCCACTACGCCAGTCGTCGGAAATTCTTATTAACTATTCATCACTCAGTACTAGGAATGTGAAATGATTCAGTTCAGATCAGTTTTCACAACCATTAACCATGCACCTTCGTGCATCGGTTTTGGTTGATGTCTTTTGGCTGCCCACGTGGATAAAAGAGCAGAATGAAGATTGGAATGTTGAGAGCAAATACAAGCGGGAGATGGGAAATTCACATAGACTGGTGCTAAGAAAATGATGAGTAGATGCATGCGCGCCAATGTTTTCGACACCCAGCCATATTGCTCAGTATCTGTAACCATCAGTGACCATGATCTCAGGGTCCCCAGCCAGGGAGCCTAAAGGGACCTCTGTGGTCCAGTCTCCTGGTTAGGGTTCTTATACACTCATGCCAGGTCTTCGTTTGACCGCCATGGACCCTTTTCCATCCGTTACCTGTCTCGGCAAACATCGCTCGCTGTGATAACCTATTTGGTGAAATGCGTAAAACATGCCCCAATCAACGTAATCTATGGAGGACGACTACTTGCTCCAATGGACGACCGCGACTACCTAAAACTCTACGCCTAACCTCAGCATTGCTCGTCCGGTTACCCCCACCAGACTCCTGCAATGCGTCGTAGACAGCGGTGTTTGAACACCGACAATCTATTTTTATCCTGTTCCCGTAGTGGCCAAGTCTCTGCACCGTAGAGCAGTACTGACTGAACTGCTGCAGCATATACTCGACCCTTGACAGACAGCCGGATGTCTCGAAGGCGCCACAAATGTCCCAAGTTGGCGAATACCAACCGAACCTTTTGTATCCGCACCGACACTTCATCTGTGATGCGTCTGCCAGGGGAGATATACCCGCTCAGATAGAAAAATTCTCTATTCCCTCTACTACTACCCCAGTAACCTTTAGGCTGTGCCGGACCAACCCAATCTCGATAGTTCCACTTCGAAGGCCGAGTTGTAACCATGACTGATACAGCATTGAGGACATCCGTTTTCCGTGACCTTTCGGTGGTTGTTTACCAGGCGTAGGAAGAACCTCGCTCGTAGCAGAGTATGGTCCGTGTCCACGGGAGTTGACCAGCAGGAGAGGCAGTCTTCAATGGATCCTCGTCAGCGGTGGCTGATGGCGATGTACTCGATGTGCCCAGCGCTGTGAAGAGGCTGGAGGTCTCCAGTGTCGTTTCTTGTGCGAGAAATTCGTGCTTGTCAGGAATAATCCGTGGTCCGCGTAGGGTCGAAGCAGACGATCTCCGTTGTCCGTTCGATTGTCTGGGATTGCGTGTGGTCCGCCAAGATTTGCGGACTCGTCCAGGGATCCCACTTGACCATTGAAGTCTCCGGCACCAACTTCCGACACAGTTCTCGACGGACGGCAATGTGACGCTCCAGTTCAACTGGTACGCTAACTCAAATCGACCACAAGGCAGTAAGCTACCGTTGACGTGACTCAGTACAAAATTGCAGATCCTATTGGACCACATGTGTTGAGTCTGACCACGCATTAGTTTTGATGCAGTTCACTTTCCGACTGACTGGTCGGTGACGAATTCAGCAAACTCGGATAGCTCATCATCGACTATCTGTTCCGGTAGTTCGTGTGCGCTGAGTCAGAGCTAGTGCGTGAGCTAAGTGCGCCTCAACGTGATGATGTAGATGAACAGTGGGATCAGATTAGGCGAGCAATACGTTCCGCAGCGAATG